TTTTTCCTAGTGTTTGTATATTGTTTTTGAGGTAGGCTACTTGGAGAGTTTAGCTCCATTTAACCTCTCTAGTTGATACTTTCATTTTGTATTTTTTTTCAGTAGGAAAAAGGGGGTGACATTTAGCAATGCTTGAGGGTGTGCTTAGAAATTGGGCCTGAGTTGGGCCTAGGCAAAATTTTGCATATTGGACTCATTTTGCTCCTAATTTTTCATAGATTTGATTTAGCTAGGTCTAATCATCATATGATGAACCTAACTAAACCAAATCAAAGATTTTCAAATTAAATCAAGGAGCATTTTGAACCATGGCCGCCTAAGCTCTTCCTTCCTCCTTGGCCGAATTCTCTAAGTGCTTCTCCTTGAGTTTGGAAGCTTGTCTTGCAAGTTTCTAAACTCAAGCAAGGTTAGCTCACCTTACCATGGTTCTTAAGTGAACCATGGTCAAGGTTAGCTTCCCTTGCAAGCTAAGCTAAACCGTAGAGAGTTAAGTTCACCTTACCATGGTTCCTAATGAACCATGGTTAAGGTTAGCTTCTCCTACAAGCTACCTTATCCTATATATTTGTTTTCTACACTCTTGTAAACACTTTTGACATAAATGAGAATCAATCTTCAGATTTATCTCTCAACTCAAGAGTCCAAAACCGTAGAGAACTCTTTCTCTAAGCTTCCCTCGAGGTTCCTTCCAACCTTGCCTTGGTTCATCAAGCTTCTACTTCAAGCTTGAAGTAACCGAACCTCATTCTTGGCTTCACCTCCATTGGAGCTTCTTCAAAGGAGGATTCAAGGATTTTTCAAGTGTCTACCTCAAGTGCAATTCGGTCCTAAGCATGGAGGAGTTGAAGAACATCAATCTTCTTCAACACACTTCCATCATTTTTGGTATCTAGAGCCTAGTGCTCTTGAGGTTTTTGTTTCTAACTTTTCCTAAGTGAATCTGTGTTGTTTCTTCTTTGTCTATGTCTTAAAATTGTGTTTGCTGCATGGATCTAGTTTTAATACAATTTTTGATGGATCCTATATGTCATATATGAAGTAATTGATTCATGTTTGCTTGTTCCTATTCTTGTGAATCAATTTCGGTTTTGTGCTTTAGGTATTCTTGTACTTGTGCGTTTTAAATTTTGTTTGCTTGAGTCTCTCCATTCTATAACATGTGTCCGTGATTGTACAACATTCATATGGCATAGATTTTGTAGGTAGACACTTGAAAAATCCTTGAATCCTCCTTTGAAGAAGCTCCAATGGAGGTGAAGCCAAGAATGAGGTTCGGTTACTTCAAGCTTGAAGTAGAAGCTTGATGAACCAAGGCAAGGTTGGAAGGAACCTCGAGGGAAGCTTAGAGAAAGAGTTCTCTACGGTTTTGGACTCTTGAGTTGAGAGATAAATCTGAAGATTGATTCTCATTTATGTCAAAAGTGTTTACAAGAGATACACAAGAATTAAGAAAACGGTTGATATTTTTGTTTTTCAAAATATTTATTACTTATTTTCTTGTTATACCCTAAACACACTAATTATCAAAGATAAAAATAAAATAATAATAATAAGTCATGAAAATGAGAAGAGTGAAGTGAGTAGGGAGAAAGAATATATAAACGGGGTCTCACACTAGACACCATCCAATTGGGGCCCAAGGCCACCAAGTCATAGACTTTCTCATGCTCTCGCGCCTAGTGCCATTCAAACCACATTCGGCATCCAAATCTCTCTCCTCACATTTGGAACAACCGATCCTACTCCTGACGTGAATGAGATAAAGACCCCTGGTTGGAATTGCACCTAACGTCATGAAGGCGCACCCAATGTGATATCAGAATTATGCAATTGCATATCACGAAAATTTCCGCAAGCACCTGAAAATCAAGAAATCCAAAGCATGCACAACATCCAACACTACATACACATTATTTATGACTCAAATTCTAGCTAAAGCAACACATGCAACCATAATTAAAGAAATCACCAATTTCCACTTCCATGAATCCAACCACTCAAGTTCAACATATCCAACCCCAATTCATGCAATTTAAACATATAAACTCATGCAATCCACAACCCATTCAATGAATTTAACTTAACATTCACTAAAACACTTTCTAACTTCCCTTACCTCAACAAGCACACGAAGAAGATTAGGAGAAGAGAAGAAAGTACCGAGTCTTTCGAAGAACTTCGAAAGAAATCAGATAGATTCAAGCTTCTAAACCTAAATCAAAACACAATAAGAAATAAGAAAACTCGGGGAAAGTAGTCACCGATCAAGAGAATGAGAGATTTTCTTATAATCTCTTATCTAATTTAATTTTTATTTATCATAATTATTATTAATAAATATTAATATTTATTAATTACTATAAAAATTGTTTATCATAAATTTAAAATATAATTTATATATTTAAAATATTTATCTATACTTATTTTAAATATAATTTGCATATTCAAATATAGATTTTTTATATATAATTTATAATAAATTTTGATCATGTTATATATATAAAAAAATATTTTTGCATTACATATGCTAAAATACTAGTATTATTATCGGTTTTGAGAAAGTCTCATTTTAAGATTGTTTTAGGTCTAATATTAACAACAATGAATCTAGAAATTTTAAGTTGTAGAGCTAATATTTATATATGATTATAATATTTTTATAATCAATAATTTCAGTTTTGATATAAAATTATTTTTAATTATTGATAATTTTTTTGAAAAAAATATTAAATTTAAATTTAAAAATAAAGACAAAATTTAATAGACCAAAAGATTAGGTAATTAAAATATTTATTTACACACATAAAGATAAAAGGATTTTAATTAGTTATATTTTATACATAAAATATATATATTTTTTATTTCAAATTATAAGAATATATAATTAAGAGAATAAATATAAACATATAAAAAAATTAATGAGGATAATATTTATTTAAAATATAAAATAATTTTATTATATTTAAAATTGTAAGAATAATTTTAACAAGACCCATTGTTATGTTCATGAAGAGATTATTTGTAAGATTACATTCTTGTTTCAAATAATTAGAAGTTTATGTTAAGTTAATGTCCAAGAAGATGTATGGTGAGGCTAAATTATTATCCAAACGGGGAGTTACAAATTTGACACATCTTATGAAGAAGCTACCAATTTATTTTTTGTTTGCAAAGCCGTTGATTTTGATGTACATGTAATAACTTAATTGTTTCTCGTGTTTATTATAATGTGTATGATATTTATTATTTACAAATGATAAAGATAAAGGATTAATGAGATAATTATTTACAAATGATAAAATGTTAGTAGGGTAAGTGTCCTCACTCTCTTTGAAGTAGATCTATCCATCTCTAACAATATATTAGGTTGACCTGTATAAATGCAAGTAGTAAGTATTGTTATATAGGTATTCAAAAGATATAAAGATGGACATTAAATTTGTTACTCACTTGAATATGAGAGCAGATACAAAAACGAGTGTTATGGTATGTACCCTACTTAAATCCTATCCATTACCATCACTAATTTACATATATTTTAAAAATTAAATTAAAATATAAACTATATGTACATAACAATTTAGTTAATAATTTCTATCATTATATATATATTAGTTAAAATAACATATCTTATTTTTTTTACATGAAATATTGTGAATTATTTTAAATCTATTTAAATAATTATAAAATCGTTACTTTTTATTTTTTCTTTTGTTGAGTTTACTTTCAAATAACTATTTTTTAAAAAATTTACCATAACTAGTATTACAATATGTAATATTACAAATTTAAATAAAAAATTATCAAAATTAATATTTAATTAATGAAAAATTATATAATAAATAGCATTAGTATGGATAATTTAATTCTTCATTAGATGCATTAAGCCTATAATATCCATTAATAATAACTTGAGAGAAAAAAAAACATTAATTCAATTATATATAACATTAATATAACTATTAAAGTCAGTTAAATGGTGGAGAGTTAGGATAATATGTACCAAATCTAAGTTCAAATAGGTTATTATTATTATAATTGCTATGAAGAAAGAAAAAATATTAATATGATAATTTAATCCATCATTAAATACAATTAAGGTATTAAATTTAATTATATATGAGTCGGTCTAGTGGTGGGGTTAAAGTAACATGCTAAATCTAAAATTCAAATTTTATTGTCGTAATTGTATTTTCTATGAATATAAAAAATAATAATTACTTATGATCAATTACTATTATTTTTTTAAAGATAATACTGGTACAAAGTATCTATCAAAATGATTAGTCTTTATTAGAGATTGTAAGCATACACAAAATGAAATTAATGACTAAGATTGTAAATGCATAAAGTGAGTATTCTCCTCGTAACATAATTTATTTCATACATATCGTCAAGACTCAAACAATAAACAACTTAATTAAAAGATATAAGTTCCTACCACTTATATGAATTAATTATAAAGTTAAATTCAAATACTTTTTTTTTACATGTTTTATTCGATCACTAGATCTTAATCCCCAATAATATTTCTTTAAGTTTCTAAGACATTAATTTTTATGACTAAATTAAAAATAAAGTATATATATATATAAAGCATATTTTATTTACAAATAAATTTTTAGTTTGATTAATGTTGAAGTTGATTTTTTTAAATAAAATCTCAAATTTGAGTCTTATATAAGAAAAAAAAATTATTAGAAGGGAAACCTTACAAAAGATGATAGGTTTCTTTGGAAATATTAGTTATCAACAAAATTAAAAAATACTATATAATCTAATATAATTATTATATAACATAACATATTATGAAATATTTTAAATTAATTACATACCGATATAATCATCATTTTTAATTATTATTGTTTGTGAAATATATCTTAAAATAACTAATTTTAAAAAAATGACTCAAGTAGTAACTTTAGTCCGTTGTCTCCTTGTAATTAGGTATTTTTTATTATTATGTACAACTAATTAGATAAATGACTTATTGGTTCCTAAATAGTGTTAAAAATGTATATAAAACATTAATATTTGTGTCTTGTTAGTGAATGAAATTAATATTATTGGTGACAAGATAAGAGTGTTGGATTGGGAGGAGAATCAGTGGAGACGGATGCAGATAATGAGTCCGTCACCAATGGAAAGAAAAGCAATTTGAAGACGAGAGTCCTTTGAAATGGCTTCGTTGAAAGCAAGTGTTGATCGTCTCCATTCTCTTTTGGCTTCTGAAACCGACTCTTCAGCCAACGCAACACTTCCTCCCCACAGTGTGTTGTCGTACGCAACTATCCCTCCAATCTTCACCAATCTCATAAGCCTCTCGTGGTAGTTCCAGTAATTGTTCTTGTCAGCGTCAACGAACCCAAAGTCAAAACTCCCTTCGTTCGCACCCTGCACCAAAACATCAATAACGCTTTTTTATTTCATGGGGCCTTTTTTTTCATTCCTTTTAAAAGGTTTACATGAATGCTGAGTAAAGTTATCCACTAAGTGGTGTAGAGATGCATGCTTACATCTTCCAAGAGTTTATCAAGAACTGGTAAAGCTGGAGACTCTATGAAGTCAATCTTGTGTTCTACACCAGCCTTTTTAATGAATGGTAGTCCTATCTCGTAAGCTTTTCTGTCTGGATCCATAGCTATAATCTACACCACGCAGACAATGGAGTTGCTAACATAAAACAAACATATTAAATGTACCAAATAACAACAGAAATTGCAAACCTTTCCATCATGAGGAATGGTGAGTGCTGTGAGGAGAAGAGAGTATCCAGTAAAAACTCCCACTTCAATTGTCTTTTTAGCATTCAACAGTTTCAAGAGCATGGCTATTAACTGACCCGCATCAGGTGCAGCACCCATGAAGCCCCTGAAGAATGAAATTAATAATACTACAGAAAAAATAAAAAATAAAAAAAATAAAAAGTTTCCTTGTGTCTGCTCAAAAGTCAAATTCAATGAAAAGAATGAAGTAATAATGCCTTATACTTCTATTGTTTTGTTTGAGAAATTCTTGTATACATGTATATGGTCCATACATTATCATACAGAGATTTGAAGTGATACTATATAATATGGACATATCAAAATTTGTTGTGTCAATGTCCATGAATGCTTAATTATTAGGTTTAGAAGTGTAGAACTATAGTACAAAGAATAATTACAGAGGATGCTTTGCATTTGCATTTCTTAGCTCTTTGAGGGTCTCTGCTTCTCTTGGGTAAACGCCTGTTTCCAATATGTACTGCCACATAATTGTTGCATCCTTGTGTTAAGTAGGATAAATGGATCTAAGAATTTAAATTTGGAAATTCCAATAAATGTTTTGTTTTTTTATACCTTCAGTAACCCCTCACTCTGCAATATAACTGGATTAGGGAACATTGCTGGCTTTGATGTATTGTCCATTTCTCTGCAACGCACTTACGTTATAAAGTCCTCAAGTCATTAAAAAAAAAAAATAGTTCTACCACATGTTATGATTAAACTTGGTATTCAATACTAAAGGTTCGTGTTGTGGTCGTGCTTTAATTGTTGCTAATTTTCACCATCTTGTTATTGAAAAAAATAGCTTTGACAACTTCATAGGTACATAGATTTCAGTCCATAGTACTTGAGTCATGAATGAGAAACATTGTGGTGGCATATACAAAAGAAAGGGTTGAAAAGAGAGGCATACCTGAATTTCAATGATGATTAGTAGGTATGTGGTAAGCACAAGAGTAGAAACTAAACTCTTAGCAATGCATTGTTTTGGGGTACTCCACAGTTCTTTAATAGTCTGTATTAACATTAGACATGCTTTATTAATTAATATGAATTGCTTGTTTATAATCTTTCAGGCCAATAATGCTTCATCTATTCCTTGTATTTCGTATTTTTGTATTCCGACGATAAAGCATTTCAATCTTGATGCTTCTTTAAGGAAACCGATATTTGCTCATGCATCACCATCTTTTCATGCTCTTTGATCAAAAACATTGTGAAGGACACGTGATTTTAATTTTTCGGGCACAACAAATACGTAAGTCAAGAAGAGGGTTAGAATAGAAACTAAAAACGACCCCAGAAACTAAATCATACTTGGCTGCTTGAGATTTTGAATATTTTATAATGAGATTATAGTTATCTTATTGTAAGAAGTAAACTTGAGAATTAGTTGGAAGAGAACAGAAAAAAGACCACGTAATTTTTTGTCATACTCTTCTCTGCTAAGAGAATTATATTATACAAAAACGGGGTAAAAAAATATAGTACACGTAAATAATGACTCTCACGTTTTAAACGATAATTATGAGTTGAGTGAAGTTCGATTATGTTGGGATTCAAACAAGTCCCACATCGATAAAATAATACAACAAATAACAACTTATATAATACAAACATACTTCAATGATTAAGAGGCCTTTTGGGTGATGACAAAAAGCAAATCCGTGAGGGCTAAGTCCCAAAGCGGACAATATCTCATCATTGTGGAGTATGTTTGTGTAATAACCTTATAAAAATAACTCATAAAATATTCTCTCAGATAAATCATTGTGGAGTATGTTTTTGTAATAACCTTATAAAAATAACTCATAAAATATTCTCTCAGATAAATACCATCAATATAACCCCATCAGAAGCACGTGAATCAACCGTTAAAGAATTATTTTAATTTAATCAGTAATATTGAATTTAAATTCTGAATATGCAACTTAAAAAAAAAAAGTTTTATCACATAAAATGATCTTGATCGACTTGAACATGATTGCATTAATTCGGTAAAAAATACATGTAGTCTAGAGGAAAAAAATTAGTTTATATGAAAGTGTGCGATTCAAGATTGTGTCAAGATTATCCTATATTGTTATAAGAAAGCACATGAAATTTTATTAGCGACCCTTCTTACGGGACAGAAATTGGGCAGCGAAGGTATCATAATCAGGTAGCTTTGGATGGACATGACTGCCCTTCTCCTTAGAGGGAATATCTTTGTTAGAATTTAAAGACATTGAAGCCTGTTCCTTTTCTGGTATCATTGTTTTAGTAAGAGAACTAGAAGGTTGCATTTGCACCCTTGCAGATGATAATGTTAGAATTTCCTCACTTTTAGATACTGAACTTGGCTTAGATGCTGCATGTTCTGCTGATCCATGCTCAGAACTTGCCCAATTTTCCATGAATGAGACCTTCTGTTCTATACTCTCATAAGAAACCCTTGAAGACTCCTCTCCAAGTCCTGCATCAAAAGTCTTAGAAGCCTTGGATAAAGGATCACCCTTCAAACTTAAAAATGTACTAGTACTAGTTTTTGAAGGAACTAACATCCTTCTAGACAAATCACTAGCATGACTAGCAAGAGTGACTGAAATTTGTTCAGGAAGTCCGTTCTCAGAATCATAGCATTCATTTGAGTCCCTTGTGCTTGATTTCTTGTTCGCTTCACCTTGCCTTTTCTGGTAACGTTTCATCACATTCTCATTACTATTCATGTAATGTTCATTGGGTGATGCAACCAGGTTATGTTGTTCTCTTGCATTAGTTTGTTCATTGTGTATCTCAAAACTGTTGCTTCGGATTGTGCTATTAACATATCCAGCAGAAAGATATTTGGTTGAATGAAAAGCATATTCTTGAGGTAATTCACCACCATCAGAAGGACTCTGCCAGTTCCATCCACTTGAATACTGCATTGTTAACTTTTCACGGTTAGAAAGTTCTGCAGCTGCTCTTGCAGCCATGCTTGCACGTTCTGCAGATTCTGCAGCTACCTGTGCAGCAGAGGCAGCATCCTTGAATTCCATGTTCCAATTCTGTCTACCCTTTTGAAAAGCACTCATGTTTCCAAAATCCATTTCTTGACTTCCAGTACCTGTAACAAATTAAAGGACCACAAATATTCAGCTATGTAATAACCATCTTAAGATATTTCTCAAAGTGATTAAAAGAAGTTACCTGAAGAATTTAAACTTGCATTCTTCTCATAAGAATTTTTACATACATCTTTCATTTCTTTAAGTTGATAAGAAGCACTTAAATTAGGAGGTCCTTTTTCATCACCAACAGGTGGAACATGGAGTTGTGGAGGTTCCACATAAGTAGCCTTCTCTAAAGTATTTGGTCCAACCTTATCATATAAATAGTGGCAAATTAATATGGTTAAGCATATTCATCCCTTCATACATATATTGTATAATAGTAATATTAGCGACATTCATTCTAACACTCTTTATATTATTAGTTGAAATTTATTGAAAATCAGAAATTTTGATGAAATTCACATTTCATATAATGAGTCACTTCTAATACAGTGGCAAGACTTACTATAATTTGTAATTTCTAATAAAATTCAATAAAAAAAAAGTGTTAAAAGATTTGTTACTAGCATTCCTCTTTATAATATAATGTAAAATAAACTCGAGATCATAATGAACAAAGCCTACCAGCAAATCCCGACCATTTTCTTCTAATGAGGGTTGCCATTTGACGTTATGTTCCTCAGCTATTGCAGTAAGTATTTTGATCTTGGTTGGACCATCAGGTGCTTTGGTAGACAACTTCTCAACCAACTAGAAGACAATAACAAGTTAGGAAAAGAAAATGATAAGAAATTATTTTTAACATGATCCTCCCAACTGAAGCAGGAAGAGAGACTTGCCAAACGATTTACACCACAGTCGGGACGTAATTCAACAGCTGCTGAGACAAATTCTTTTCCATACTTGGCCATAATTTGCTTCCTCACATTAGCCAGCTCAGGTATGTCTAAACACCTTGGGGTTGCAAATATTACGCTTGAAATTGCTTCCTTCAAATCGATGGGGCAGTTCCTAGAGATAAAAAAATAAACAAGGATAAACAAAGTGACAATGTACACTCACAATAAAGTAACTTTCTAGATTGCAAAGATCAAATATTTTCAAAAAGAAAAACCGCATGCAGTATTATACAGGCGAATTCAATGAGTATTGCAAGATGTAAATCAGGATATAATCAATTTAATTCATCACTATAACATAGACAAGATCACAAAAACACATAAACATATATAAAAGAAAATGTTTGAGCATGGAAAGCCAATCTTATAATTATAAATTAGTATTTAATTATCAATTTTACGATAATACATGAATCATATCTATATATGAGTCATTTGATCCTTTATATATGGATATAACCATGTGCTGAAATTATTTAGATGAATTTTAAATACTTTTGTGATTCAATCGTCGGCATGCGTGCTGCAATAAGTTCACAGTATATCTCAATAAGATTATATGCTCCTATTGTCTTCTCTTCTTTGACTACATGTTCAACCTGAAAGCAAAACGGGAGAAGTCAATGAAAAAGTAAAAAAAAAAAAAAAAAAAAAAAACAGGTATATAGAACAACCATTGTTTATCATTCATTATTTCCCTTTTACTAGCAAATATGCAGTTATGCACCAATCAACAGCTTCGAAGAAATTACTTTAAAATCAAATATCAGAAGAAAAAAAACTGTCTTTATTATATACTAGTGATAGTGAGAAAAAAAAAAAATGTCTCGTTATAAAAAATAAAATAAAAATGTTGAAATTAAAAAAAGTGTACAATTAACTTTAAAATAATAGAGTAGTTAAACAAATTGGTTAAAGGATAAAAAAAATTAGACACCAAAATAAGATATCTCCTATGTTAATGTTATATATATATATATATATATATA